TTTACTCACATACACCATCCTGTGATATAGGACCCTAATACAGGTACCTACATACACCCGAGAAATGTTGGCGCCTCTCTCCGCCCACAAATTATGCTGAACCCCTTTGTGCCAGCAAAACGCAGAGGGTCTAGATTTCAGATTCCGCCCCTCATGTAACATTTCGTAACGCCGCTTCTTATTTACTTATCATGTGACCTTATTTTATCTCTTCAGGATAAGTATCATACTTGGCATAGTTTTTGGGATAATTGGACTCATCGTTCTAATTATCCTTTGTATAGTTGCTTGTGTTTGCTGTTGTGCCCAAGCTGGTCAAAGTTCATCAAAATCAACCGTTGTTCGTAAGTAACATACATATAATTTCTCTGATAATACTAGTATTGTTATGAATTAACTTAAATCACAGATATATAACGTGTAATCTCATCGATTATCGTGTGTGAATATTGCGTCTTAAATCATGCAATAATGTACCAGCAAGTATTTATAATATCGTCATTGCTTATATCATATGACATGGTTATGGTTGAATACATTCTTGGTACTAGTTGAATCATGGTTAGATCATGGTTACGTCACTCAAGGCATATAAATTAAGGAGATTACGGCCAAATAAATTGTTGAGTAATGGCATCGCTTTACCAGGTTACGGCATACAACCATGGCAATTCTAGAATGTTCTTTTAACAATTAATTATTCAAAACTGCCGTGGTACTTATTATTGCACTACACGTGTCATGATTATACATACTATTAGGCTTCATGTAGCTAAACAATGATGTTATAATGTTTTCCAACAAATACAGATGCACATAACCAAGTGTCTCCTGTCGTGGTTACCCATAGCAACGCTCAAGCTCCACCACCAGCGTACAGCATCCAAGCTCAGCAGGCAGCGCCACAAACATACACCAACTATGCTGCAAATGATCCCGGAGTAGTACCACCTCCAGCTCTATACTATCCTCCAAATACGACGACAGCATAAGTGAATTCGCTGTCATAGTAACTGAATATATATTTGACACTTTCCGATTTTATTTTTCACGGCATTCCGTTTGCTTTATAAAATCCTAGTACCTAAATACGCCTTCCTGTGATATTCGACCGCAAATATGTTACTTTTACTAAGTATATTCATTGTTATGACATTTTCAACCGTTGAAGACGTAAACAAATAAAAGAATATATATAAAAAGACAGAAATACTACCGGTAACACTTGAGCTAGACGGAACGACCACTCGGTGTATTCAGTAACAATGACAGTTACAGTCAATGTCAAGGAATAATGTAATTGTTTCGCCAAAAAACACTGCTCGGCATTTTCCCACAACACGTATAATTTCAATGCACGATATTTATACACGATTTCTCACAAGAAACGTAAATGTAGCGGCCACTGAGTGGATAAATGCGCACACGAGATAAAACACATAATGGATAGGTAACGCACATTCTTGTTTGTGCGCATAAACCAAAGTAAGCGTTATCCTGTGAACGCATCTATCTAGCACTGACAGTTACCTCTTCCATGTATGCAGACGTGCTGTACAGATAATTCTTGCTGGTCACCTGAATTATTTAATCTCACATAGTAGCAGAATAGCGGTACGGTGTTGGAACTCTCTGTAAACAGGCATCTGTTTTATCAGTATGACTGATAGGTAGGAAGGCACTTATCTACACCAATCCCATCGTGTACGTGACTAGCGCCCTCTAGCGTTCGTATATGAAATAATGGGAAACCTTATTGTTGTGAAGTATTGTATTTATTACTAGGTAAATTTCGCTCCTCATGCCGTGACATTTGTGACACTATACCGTTGCTAAACGATTCCCCACCCGGGACAATTGTGTTGCCGATTTATAAGAAAAGTACACTACTTAAAATACCATTAAAAGAGGTCAGGGGTGCGTTCATATTCATGCAACACAGAACACATTGTATTAATCGTTTGCGTACGTGGTGGTATCACTTAAGTCATAGCGTACCAACAATGAATGTCTTGAGGCTCACTTTCAATTGCTTTGTATTATATTACGTTACATAAACCATATGCGTGTACTAACATGACTTTACAAAATATAAATACTATAAGAAAATATAGAGACTTCAACAATTTTCAGAGTTTTTTCCAGCGGCCGTAATAATCTCACATCTAAACCAACTGAAGTTATGTTTCTTTACATCATTGACTTTACTGGAGGGTATATGTTCACATTTACATTGGTTTTATTTATACAGCTTGTTTTCATAAGTTGAACTTTGCCCTCTCAAATAACGCGATTTAGGTTTAGGAGAAGGAAATTGCATGAGTAGTTCACCTTGGTCGAGGTTAGCCGTGATGCAGAAGGTTCTCGATCGTTGGTATCGGGTAAAGTTGTTTTGACCTACCATGTTACATGTTGTTGCCTGGATACGTTGCCATTTTTGTTTGTGAAAACAACAGTTCACCATTTCACTGTGGGCCACAAGTACCAGAAACCTGTTTGAACACTTCTCCACAGTATAAGTATGGACAACAAAACAAATGTTGCATTCCGTTTGAGTATCTTGTTGATTATGGTTGTTTTAGGTAAGTAACTAATTATATTTATGTAGTAAAAAACATTTTTTACCATCCGACAATAACACCACATTGTTTATAAATGGTTTTTATATGTCTGGTGAGATCACCAATACTCCTTGTACTGGGGACTATCTCATATAGTAGCGGAAAAAAGACACGGTGCCTGTACCCTCTGTACAAAGGCACGAGTTTAAATTGCACGGTAGAGCAGTTATTTTATCAGTGTGTCAGATAGGTAGGAATACACCAATCTTCCCCACTTCCATCGTCTAAGAGACTAATGCTCACTTAGGTGTCATCGACAGTAAAAGAAGCCTTATAATGTTGTTGTGAATTACTAGTATTGTATTTATTATTAGGCACATTTTCCTCTTTAAACCGTGACATTTGTGGCGGTATGCATTTGCCAAACGGTCTCCACCACGTGACAATAGCCGAGTTGAAAAGAAGTGAAGATTTATAAGATAATCACGCTACCTTTCTTTTATTGAAACACATAAAAGCAGGAATTAATATGGTTATACATAGAAAAACAACAAACAAAAAATCACACAAATTCACATAAAAATAGACGAGAAATAATAAACGTTACGCAATGTTACAAAACAATTTCCCATAACTGTCGAATGATTTGAAAAAAATACTACTAAAATACAAAAAAAAAATTAAACATCATTCACATTACACAGTTCACCTAATATATTATACTGGTCATGTTTGATGCCCGTCTCGTATTTACGTCACAACACCGTGGTATGGGGTAAACAAAACCTTTTGTAACAATCACTTTACGTACACAATAAATCACGTCAATCGTAGCGTGCATACTATGAATACCTGGATTTGTTCTGTTTCTCAATTGCTTCGTATTATATAACGTTACACAAACCATATGCGTGTACTAGCATGACTTTGCAAAATATAACTACTATAAGAAAACAGAAAGAATGGAATCGCGGTGTTTTCTCAATTTTGTTGTGGTAACAATCTTGTTGTGGTAAACTATCGTCTGTCCAGGACGAGTTTCAGTATTATTATACATATACATCATAACCATTTGAATCTGAATTATCTCATTCTATATTGAAAAAAAAATTACTTTTACATTACAACTTTTTATGTTAGGTTACACATTCGAACCTTGACCTTTCCAATTATGCGATTATAGTTTTATCCTCCAATCACGTACTTCAGTTAAATTTAATTTATTTGTGACTCGGAATCCTACTTTTTGAGAAGGAAATTATGTCAGTAGTTTACCTTGTTCTAAGTTGGCTATGTTACAGAATAATCTCGATCGTTGGTATCGGGTGAAGTTGATTTGGGTTGGCCTATCATGTTACCTGCCATTGCCTGGGTATGTTGCCATGGTGTTTGTGAAAACAACAGTGAGTTCACCATTTCACTGTGCGTCACATTTATCAGAAATCTTGTTTGAACACTTCTCTGCAGTATAAATATGGACAACAAAACAAATGTTGCATTCCGTTTGAGTATCTTGTTGATTATGGTTGTTTTAGGTAAGTAACTAACTATATTCATGTAGTAAAAAACATCGGTGTGTTGTCACCCGCTATTAACAACACATTGTTTAAAAATGATTTTCATATGTCTGTGATTTTAATTTGACAGCGTCATATTTCGCCAATGTCACTGAAACAGAACCAGGATGGCGCCTGGAATGCAACAATATTATCACTTTACACAACTTTTCGCATTCCTCGAAGACGACAGTGTCCCAGGATATAAATTCAATGTCAAACATGAGTATGTTGGATATAAGTTTTGGGAAATACCATGGAATATATCACAAATCTCGGTGTGAATTGTTTTCTGAAATAAAATATAATGTTACGTAAAGGGGGACAATGGTAGAAATATTTTTATCGTTGATTTTGTTTTTCGAAACGAGGG